CACTGTATTGCTTTGCCTTTCGCTACTGATGCCTAATCAGGAAATAAAAACTGCTGTTTGGGAGCTATTATACTTTGGGGGATCCCTTTGTTACAGCATAGCCTAGATTCACCATGTATGATAAATTAATCAAGCAAAGATTCAAGTTCAGAGCAGGGCCAGTAGCTATGCTGACTTGATGTTGACCCCTTGAATTGATGGTCTACAGCTTCAGGATTTCTCCCAATTTCTAAAAGAACAGACGACAATTGGAACGGAATCTTTAAAGGTATATGATGCAGCTATAGCTACACAGGTTGAAAGGATACAGGCAAAAGAGCAAAAAAGCTCATTAGAGATTTGACAGTCCTAAATAGAATCCTAGAATTGATTAGGGATCAATAAATTTTAAATTTTTCATTTCTTTTTTATGCATTGTAGTATCTCTATGCTAGGGATAATGAAAAGATAAATTATAACTCCAGTTCTGCTTTTTTCTCCTTTAACCTAGTTTTCCCTTTTCAAATAGATCCAAGTGATGCATCTTACTCTCCCTCCTGGGATTTTTCCAACTCCTGAGGTTTAAAATAAAACCCACCTGGGGTTTTATTTCCCAGTTTTCCCCTTTCTTACTCCTTTTCAAGTGGGTGGTTTCTCAAGGAGCGCAGGGAGGATTAATCATCTCAGTTCTTTTAATCACAAGGGTATGTACCCAATACATATTTGTTGAATGAAGAAATTATTGTTTTCTTTTTTAAATGAGACAACACTGCACTGATGACTCTTATCCATGTCTAAGTTGGAAAAGACCTTAGAGATCACGTAGACCTTCTGCTACATATGCACACACACCATTAGGGAGTCCCCTTCTATAGCATCTTTTATGTGGGTCATCCAGTGTGACTCATATTTCTGGTGATGAGAAGCTCAATGCTTTATTCCTATACCATTGAAAAACAGCTCCATCCTTTTTTTGTTTTTGTTTTTTTTTCTTTTGAGGCGGAGTTTCACTCTTATCGTCCAGGCTAGAGTGCAATGGCATGATCTCGGCTTATTGCAACCTCCACCTAGTGGGTTCAAGCGATTCGCCTGCCTCAGTCTGTAGCTGGGATTACAGGCACCTGGCTAATTTTTGTATTTTTAGTAGGGACAGGGTTTCATCACTTTGGCCAGGCTGGTCTCAAACTTCTGACCTCAGGTGATCCGCCCACCTCGGCCTCTCAAAGTGCTGGGATTACAGTCATGAGCCACTGCACCAGCCTGTAATCATTTTTTAAAAATTTCTCCATAAATCTTCCACTGATTGGTCAATGTTGAAGTCCCTTACAAGTCACATATTCTGACAGAAATTCCCTTGCCCAGGGGTCAGTAAATTGGTTGCTATCTCCAAATTATCATTCCATTCACAAGTCTTTATCTTCTCCACCAAGACATCAGAAAAAAATCTTCAAAAGTCCAGATATAATGCTTGTATTTATATTTCTAGGAATCTCAACGAAAATTAAACATAAGAAAATTAGTAAGAATTGCTCTAAGGCACTGAAGCTTTATATTCTTTCATATCTACTGTCACATCATTAGGCTGAGTCTGTCTTTGACTGCTTTTAAAAATAGATATTTACTATGTCATGGGCAGTCAATGTACATGCTTTCTATACCAACATTGTATTCTACACAGTACAGTTCCATCAGTTTCAAAGCACACAAAATGAAACCTAAGGTGAAGAAGTGGGGTCTTATTTCCTGCCATTGTTGTGCACAGGAGTCAGAGATCGAGCACTAAAACAGCATTCTAGAGAAGCATGCTACTTAGGTCAATCCAGAATGTTGGATTCAAAATGTGTATTGCATCAAGATGGGTCTTATTAATGGAGTCAGGGACTGTGTGATGTAGCATGTCAACTCCAAAAGTGTAGATGAGATGGTGTCAAAAATCCAAGAAGAGAGTCAGAATTACAGGACAAATTAGGCAAGGGGAAGTGGCCTGACTTCACCCTAGGACTGGCTGCCTGGATGTGTACTTGTTCTTTACATGCTCCAACTTAAGTTTACTTATGGGGGAGAGTAAAATCCAGAGGGACTGGAATTTGAAAGATTAGTTAAAGTGAGAAAAGCATCATATCCAGACATTTCTATTTGCATAATATTCTCGGACTTTCAGCTATGTGTATATCTTCCATGAAAAGTCCCTAAGCTCTTTTCAGTTCTCTGGAAAATGTAAGATTATTCCATCATTTCTTGTAATATTTAATGTAAATCTCAAATCAGTCAGGTCATATCTAGTTAGATCCATCAAGTAATATAAAGTAGGAATGTGCCTTGCAAATAAAATTGGGAGAAAGGAACAACAGTAAAACGTAGTAACTGAGGACAAAAATCACTTGATAGAAAGTTTTATGCTGAATCATGATTCTATAATGATTCTCTGGGATGCTAGGGTACCTCTCTTGAGCCTCTAATGTCCACTGAGTCCCTTAGAGTGTTAGAACCATACTAAAACAAGCCTAGAACCCATTTGGAATCAATCAGCATCCTGCTCACTGAAATAACCCCAAGGATCCCTATGTCCCTCTAAGAAGCTACCATTTAGGATCTTCTTGCAACACATTCCAGTTTCAGGCTCTTCCCTACTGGAACTGCTCCTATTGGGACCGTAGCTAGAGGAGCTGCTTCTACAGGAATATGTGATGGAGACTGATGCAACAGAGATGAGTCTGAATACCTTGGATGTAAGAACTATTTCCGAGATCAACTAATCTTTCTTAGTGCCAAAAAGGGTTAAAATCAGCAGTAAAAACCACACCTGCCAATTAACTGCCTCTATATTCAGCCACCCTGTAAAGCATCCTAACTAGGGCGGCTTTCATAAATAAATATGCCCCTACATTCTTTGTAGCCAAAGGTTATAAATCCGTTGCAAGGGTGGGTGGACCACAGTAAAGAGATCTGGGAGCATATTTTTACATTGGCAAGAAAAGCAAAATGTCACTCAACTAAATTTAAGATTGTTCACATACATCTGCTACCACCAGAATGTTATTTAAAAGGAAAGAAAGAAAGAAAAAGAAATGTGAATATCTAATAGTTTAGCTCTGAACATTTTTCTACTATTCAGGTGACTGTTTCAATAATGATTGAAAGGCTATCAAAACAGAAGCAAACATGTGCTTGTAGTTTGTCATACAGCAACAATTTCTGGTTAAATAAATACATAGGCAATGATATCTCAACTACAGAAAAGTGTGTGTGCTGGATAACTGTAGTTATAAATATATCACTAAAATGTTTGCAAAAAAGCAGCAAATATAAAATGTTACACTTCTGACAATATCATAAATGAATCACATCCTTCAGAGAGACAGAGACAAAGATCAAATAAATTTCTGAATCAGGTACATCTCCTCCTGACACCATTTCAGAGCAAGCAGATGCATTTTATGACATGAGTCTTGTATTCTTCTGGATTAGAATGGACAATTTAATAAACCAGAATAATTTGTCCAAAGTTCATCAGGGTCTGGAAATGGATACAGTTTATCGTAAGGGAACAATTTAAGTTTAAAATCACAGAGGTACATGCAATGGTGTGTGAAAAGTCCTACTTACCTATTAACGAAAGCAGAATAATAAAATTCGGGGAAATGAAACTTAAAAAAACTGAAATCATAAATCTACCTTTCATTCTTTTCAAAAACTAAGGCCTTTTAAATACTGACATCAATTACAGAAATTATCAGTGGATCTATTGAGAAAAGATGACAAAAATGTATACCAAGGTTTCCTTTACATAAAATTGTTACATCCTCTAAAATTCTGAACTTCATACACTGTCAAAATGTAAGTACCATTTATCCCAAAATCAAATACCAAATTACCGAAGAGTTAAGAAGCAACAGTAATTCACTTGGAAATTATCCATAACAGAAATGATCCATTGTATTTGAATTAGAGATAGAGCTGAGTAAATTGCATTTACCACTGGTTTTTAAAAATGAAGAAAACTACTAAGGGAAATATATTTTATAATACAATAATATAAATATATATGTTTATTAGGTTTTAAAATAAATGATTCTGCATAAATAAATGTTCCAAACCGCATTTAAGTGGTCTGAGAAAAGACTCATGATTTATTAAAGTTACTTTTTAATGACAATATGTTCTCTTAGAAAAAAAATTCAATAGTTAATCAAAATATCTGTTGGGGTCATTCTGGGTAGTAACTCAAAGTATTATTTCTTTGTTGGTTGTGTCATATCATAATATCATAGAACTACACCTTTGATAGTCTTAAAGATGGAGTTAAAAGATGTTTTTGAAGAAATCATATTTTTTTATTTCTGGTTTGAACATTTAAATTGAACATTTTGAAACTAATTATTTTCAATAATGCTAAAAGTACTATTTCAATGGCCCATATATAATTTTATAAATTTACTTATTATTTCTACTTATAATAAACTGCCACTCTATACATTTCATACCAATACATTTGAAATGTTTAAGTCATCAAATATCTCCCATGTACTGACATTAGAATACCTAGACATTCGTTCTTTTGGTAACTGAAAGTATAATCTAAAGTGAAAAAGTTTAACACTGACCTTCCCAAACTGTACAAATCAGGAACTACTTTCCAAAGGAGGCTTGTGCATACAAAGGGCAACAGATTGTACATTTGGAACTATTTATATGTGTATATTAAAATGCTATTTCTAAAGCCATTGTTTTGTCCACTGCAATGCAATCAGTTTTGGTGTACTAAAAAAAAGAACACCCAAACATAGATTCACAAAATTCAAAGCATCAAATATCCACATACTAATTATGCAATGAGAAAGTATTTTTTTCAAATGAATACTCTGATATATTTTAAATGCTTAATTCTGAATTTAAAAATGAAGGCCATCAGCTTTTATAGCTTAAATTTAACCTGACTCAGTTCGACTTTGAAGTTTTCTCTCTTTATATGTAAAAATATGATACACCTAAAATAGATGGCAGACATTTGTAAAACTTACACTGTCAGAGTGCTTGCCCTGGTCACAGTCCCACGTTGTAGCACGCTGCGCGGACCTCTCCATGGTGCTGAAGAGTTACTCTTGCCCATTTGAGAGGGAAGAGTTGTTTATTCAAATTGGCTTTGAAAGAAATCCGTAAAGGGTCACCTGGGTTAGCTAGTAAAGTTATCTAAAAAATTTCTATAACACACACTAAATAGGTGATGCTTTTGCCTTTCAGTTGTCAACCACCATGCTCAAGCAGCTCAAAGTAGATTTTGGAGCAGAAATCTTCAAGTACTGGTAAAAAAGAGCGAGAGCTTTTTGGGAGATGAAGTTTGCTGATTTTTGCCAGTGTTCTTCAGATTGATAAAACACACAGAGAAGACAAGGCTACTCGGAGAACAGAGGATTCCAGAAAAGTTCTTGATCTTAATGCAGAAAAGAAGATCCCATTAGTCCAAAGCAGCCAATTCACTTCATGCTATCATCTGATCTACTTTTTGATTAAATATAATACAATAAAATAGAGTTAAGAATTCCACAAGGCACTGCACACACCATATAAACAGGTCTGCCTCGTTCTAGCCCCAGCCTCGGTCTGCTGAAGATTATCACAGCAGAAATCAGGCTCTGTGGCTTTCACAGATTATCTCTTTCTGAGGCTGAAACATATAAAGAGCCACATGACACCCAATGATGTCATCTCTAAAGCAGGTCACAGTTGCTGCTATATGTAGATAAAGTCCTTCTACTGAAGTATTTAGCATAGTGATTTTCTTGAAAATCTACTTGCATTAGATAGCATGGTCTTCTATGAAAATACTTAACCCTATCAATACAGTGCCATGAAGAGAAAATAAATTTGCTGCTCATATGTGAGATGAGTCTCCCTTTAAGCTAAGATCAGCTTCTAGTGCTGCTTTAAAAAATGAATAACTGCAACTAATTTGTGGTGAATATAGTGAAGAAGGGCTTTTCCCTGGAGAAGCTGCTGTGGGAACTAGAGGGTCTCTAAGGATACAGAATCTACTTCTAAAACACCTCTCAGAATATTTAGCATGTCCCAAAATTATTTTTAATTCAATCCATAAAGATTGCAAAATAAAAATTAAGGCAACCGTCTTCAACTTCTAACAACAGTTTATGTAATAAAATTTAAAAGCTACATAAACAGAAAAACATCTTACTATCTCTGAAATGATTGGAGTATATTTTCAAGTGTTGATTAAAGAAAAACTTTCTTTAACTCACTATTTTTCGATGTTTTTCAGCTCTGAATAAAGTAAAAATAGAAAATTAGCTCTATTGTTACTAATCTGTACACCTAACTGGTAATTGATAGTACACATATTCTTTTAAAGAAAGTTTAAATGAGCAAAGTCCATGACCATTCTTTGCAACACATTTTTCTCTTTCTATTTAGTCACATGCCATAATTTACGATTTTCAGTCATAATTGTCATTTCTGCCAGTTAATAAATTATCTAATCCCCTTTCATGCCAACTAAATAATTCTTAGAGCCCAAGTGAAGAATAACTTGAAATTAATCTAATCAGTGCTTATTAAATGTATTCCTCCCTTAAGGCCAAATAGATCAAACAAAAGCAGCTTTCCTTGAAGAGCATAGTATTCTGTCATATTTTTGAGAAAGAACCATAAATCTGAGGAGAAAACAATTTTCCACACAACCAGTGCCACTGAACAAATTCTATTAAAGCAATGGTGATTGTTCTGGCATCTCATCAGGAAAATATTGCCTCACCAGCTTCTCACAGCATATCTATACAATGCTAAAATATCCAAATAAAAATTGAGAAAAAAAATGGATCACCTAAATGTTCTGATCCACTTAGGTTTCCTAAATAAATTAGATAATTTTGTTCAATTTCTACAGCTTAGTGTTTTCTACACTTTAATAACGATGAAGATTATCTGGGGCATTTTTAAAACTTAAAAGTCCCTGTAATCCCAGCACTTTGGAAGGTCAAGGCAGGTGGATCACAAGGTCAGGAGTTCAAGACCAGCCTGGCCAAGATGGTGAAACCCCGTCTCTACTAAAAATACAAAAATTAGCCAGGTGTGATGGTGGGTGCCTGTAATCCCAGCTTCTCAGGAGGCTGAGGCAGAAGAATCGCTTGAACCCGGGAGGCGGAGGTTGCAGTGAGCTGAGATCACACCATCAGCCTGGGCAACAGAGTAAGACTTTGTCTCAAAAAAAAAAAAAAAATTAAAAGTCCCAGACTGCTTCTCAGATATTCTGACATGATAGATCTGTTGTGGTTCTGGAATCTGCATTTAAAAAAAAAAAATGTTCCAAAGTAATTATTATTTGGAAAACACTAATTAATATATTATAATATATAAAATCATATAAAAATCAAACTGAATAAAAAGTATTTGTGATTCTTAAAATTATAAAAAAAAAAAAAAGCCCAATTTTTGCTCCCTGAAGTATCCAGTGTTGGGCACCCCCTTCTCATTTTCTCAGGTTTCTATAAGAAAGCATTTTTCTAAAGACTCCCAGCCTCTGATTTCCATCCTTTTCTCCTCTCTACAAAGGTGGAAGGAGTTACACTGATTGGAGGATTAGGCAAAGGAACTGGGCTTCTACAGCTCAGGATCACCCTCCCTCCGTCTCTGTGTGGGATCCAGCTCTCTGCAAAGGATTCACTCTGGCTTGCCCTGTAGGTGAGACTGGTAAGTTTCTCTCATTCCAAAGTTCAACAGTAAGAGGTCAAATGTTGCCACAGTCAGAGTTACACCCTCAAATCCAGCTTTGACAGGAATAAAGTTGAGATTTTGATCTCCCTCTGCCTAAATCTCTTATTTCTGAAAATAAGTTTCTAAATCAAGAAGGGACATTGAGTTATTTATTGACTTTCTAAAACTCCATCTTCTAGTACTATTGTTTTGTTGACTAGATTTGTTTTTTATATAAACCCTATGAGCCAGTTAATGCAACAAGTTTTATCTGTGAACTAACTTAATAAAATTTTCATTTGCATAATACAGCTGTATAGATACAGACCTACAAAAAGGACATGTTGTGTGTAAAACTTTCATTGGAAGTTTTATGAAATACATTGTTCAACTCATTAATTGAATTACTGAGCCACTTAGAGGAAAATTCGAGCTATTGGAATTTTTCTTTAACACCTAGTAACTCTAGGATAATGTTTCCCAAAATGTGTTCCATGGATCCATTAAGTCCAGTAAGATGTGACTCATTTCAGGTTACATGCTCAAAGAAGCATAGAAAATGTGAAAACAATACAGCCTTCCTGCAGAATCAAAATGTGTATAAACTTTAAAAGTCTCAAAGAAGTCGTAAAGTAAATAAATTGACTCATTTTACCTCTCTTCCAATTAATATTTACCAATGTCCTATAAAAATAATATTTCAGGTGCCACATTCAGAGAAATTCTGCTCTAGAAGATGTTTCAGCAGTCAGATTTTTGTTAATAATAGCACCTAAACCTTCTATATAATTAATCAATTAATAGTTATTATTGCCTGAAGTTATCAACAGCTCTGTTACAAGAATTGTCAACCATGTCTGAGGAATTTATAAATTCCGCAAGGGCAGAGGTTGTGTTTCTTTTGGTGATCATTGTATCCCTGGCAAAGGTATTACTTGGCAAAGGTCTGGCACACAGTAGACATTCAAATAGTTGTGGAATGAGTGAATGAATGTAGACCTAATCCACGGATGTGAATAATTATCCCCCACCCACAAAGATGTCTTATTTACAAAAAGACCCTTAGGCTAATGAGCTTTCCAGAAGAAATGAAACACAATGATATATCACACTCCAGTTTCACCACATCTAATTTCTCCTTGGACCCTAAACCATCTTTTATACCCATTCAATGAGTGGAATGTTGGTTTGTTGTTAATATTTTATATATTAGGTGCATATATTTATGGGGTACATGAGATGTTTTGATACAGGTATGCGATGTAAAATAATCACATTATTATCCATTAAGTAATCATGGAGAATGGGGTATCCATCCAAGCATTTATTCTTGTGTTACAAACAATTCAATTATACTTACAGTTATTTTAAAATGTACAATTAAGCTATTACTGACTATAGTCACCCTGTTGTGCTATCAAAGAGTATGTCTTATTCATTCATTCATTTTTTTTTTGTACCCATTACATTAACCATTCCCAGTTGCCCCACTCCAGGCTCCCACTCCCTTTCCCAGGCTCTAGGAACCATCCTTCTGTTCTCTCTTCCAATTAGTTCAATTGTTTTGGATTTTTAGATTTCATAAATATGTGAGAACATGCAATGCTTGTCTTTCTGTGCTTTGGAATGTTTATTTGTAATAATAAAACTGGATTTATTATGTAGGTGCACTCTGTGTCTCAATTAGAGATCTAACAATTTATCTCACCTAAGCTGTAGAATGAAGACAGAGTTTATGTGAGGACAAATGCCAAGAGCAGACTTAAGATAAACTACAAAGAAAACAAGTTATTTCTCAACTATCTTTATCAAAGGTGACATACTTGATGTCTAGGTTTTTGCATTTATACTCATAGGTCATTAAGTGTGGAGACTGCTAAGGAAGATTTATTATGTTACTACGGATGAATGAATCAGTGATCAATTCACTGTCAATTTTGCATATCATTCTGAACTCATGCAATGTTTAATATTAGCAGTCCTTCTGAAAAAATTTTAAATCCCCAAACCAAAACAACATGTTTATTTTTAAACCTATCAAGAAAAATTACCCTCAAATCATAATGTTAAAAAATAATTTGGGAAAAGGAGTCTATATTATCAGTCAATATTTAGAGACATAAAAGGGAGTGGATGTTTGTGGTATAAATATACTATTTTATATAAAAATATATTTATGCATACTGTCATATATGTTTATATATTATATAATTTATAAAACTTTGGAAAATGAAATACTCTCTCAGGCTCTGGTTTGAAAAAAGAGAAATGTATCTACTTCTAATACTAAGAAGACTTCTCTTTTTATATATGGTTAATATATTCTTAGAACCAAAATTTGGAACAAATAGACAAAGAATTTGTGCTATTTAGGGGTCTGAAAGGAAGGATGAAAGATAATGTTTGGATACTAAAACATTAGAATTCATGGGACCTAAATTTATAACAGCTGAGCTTAATACTGTAACCTGTCCCTGATCTGGAAAATCTAGGTTATTAAATTGTTAAGTAGCACAAAGCTTATATTCTCTATAGTGTTGTGTTGTTGTTGTTGTTGTTTTTGTTGTTGTTTTCGAGACAGAGTCTTGCTCTGTCACCCAGGTTGGAGTGCAGTGGCACGATCTCGGCTCACTGCAGCCTCTGCCTCCCAGGTTCCAGCGATTCTCCTGCCTCAGCCTCCTGGGTAGCTGGGATTACAGGCACACGCCATCACACCCTGCTAATTTTTGTATTTTTAGTAAAGACGGGGTTTCACTACATTGGTCAGGCTGGTCTCGACCTCCTGACCTCAGGTGATCTGCCCACCTCCGCCTCCCAAAGTGCTGGGATTACAAGCATGAGCCACCGTGCCTGGCCTATATTCTCTAGTTTTAAATCTCTCAAAATTGTATTAGAAGGGGTCCTAGAAATCCTCTTTTAGGACTGAGTTTTCCCCCAACCAAGTGTGACTTTGTAACAGGACGTTCTCCCTAATTAGTCACCAGAGTTTTC